AAGAGAACAGAAGGAACGAAAAGACGATGACTTTAGTGGTTTTATTCGCCCAATGTAAAGGAATCCAGGACGGTCTTGGATTCTAGATTCCATGTCATGGATTCCGGATTCCACGTACTGGATTCCAGTATTTGTCAGTAGAACTTGGATTCTGGATTCCAATCGTTAGTGCGATTCCGGATTTCTTCATTCATTCATTCCCTGGAGTTGTATTCCGAATTCCAAAACCCAGGATTCCGGATTCCACAATCCAGATTCCCTGACATGGGGCGATTTTATTTAAGTTGCTCAGTGGCACGTTTCAACAATCTTTGGTGATTGCTGGAGCTGTCTATTACCTTCTGTTTTTAAAGAATGAAGATTTACAGTGAGTGTGAGAAATCTTCCCTTTTATACCTCACTCTATTTTAAAGTAGGTTTAATTTAAAAAATTGGCACATTCCTTTAAAGTGAGTAGACACGATCTGAACTGATTAATTTTTTTTATATAGTTAAGCATTCCTCAGATTTATTCAGCTTCTCTAAGATAGAATGTATATATCAAAGTAGCTATTATCTGTATGATCATAGAAGAAACAATAAATATTAAAGATATAATGAACAGGTCTGCTTAATGGATGTCATGCTGAAAATCCAAAACCCATAGATGATTTTAAGCTTTTCCTCGAAAATATTCAGACAAACAATGTAGCAGTATTTATATAATACCTGGGTAGCCCATGCGAGCAGGCTCATTGCGTGGAGCTCCGCTGATAATTAATGGCCCCACTGAATACAGAGCCTTGCGCCACGCCAAACACAATGCTTTCTTTGTCTGATCTGCTGTCATCAATCTGCACATCAGAACTCTTTTGTCGGAAACCCCTATTATATATCTTTTTCAGTTGAACAGTCAGCAAACACTAAAACTGACCTTCCTCTCGTCTCATTGATCGTATCATGTCATCTCGGACGCCTAGGAGAGTACTGGTGGTATAGTGCCCGTTCCCAAAGCCAGGAAATTTAATAGAAACAAAAAATCTTAGAGTTGTTCCTCAGGTGTTAGATGAACTAAGCCGTACTTTCGAAATGATTGTGCTTTACAAGATTGTCCAAGAAAAGTACAACGAAAAAAGGTCAATCATCGAGCAGGGCTTCCATCTCACGTGGGCACGTAACCGGAAAGGAGTCTTAAATCTCTCAGATTTTTATTCAATGTCATATTTTACAGGGGCGTAGACATGCATTTTTTTCGTTTAAGCTCGGGAGGCTATCAAGGATCAAGAATAAGGATCTACAATAATAATAATAATAATAATAATAATAATAATAATAATAATAATAATTTTTTATTTTCAAAATAATTTATGAAAATCTTATAAAAAGCTGCACACAAAACTTCAGTAAAATATTCATAAAAAGAAAACGTCAATATCAATACAAAGTTCCGGCAAAACCCTTTCACAATTCAAAATTCCAAGAAATCTCATAGAGTTATAAAAAAATCAAGTCAAAAGTCCCATTGGATAACATAAACGTCAATGCGCTGATTCTAATAATACGGATAAGTTTCCGATCCATGAGGCGAGATATAAATCTATTGCTATTCGTTTTCCGTACCAATTTCTCGATAAGAAGATGTAACTAAAGATTAAGAGATCGATTGAAAAAAAACATTTAATAGTAAGGAAACACATCAATAGTCCCGTTGAATGGCTCCTTCAACAACTGCGACGTTAATATCAACATTCTTAATGTCACATGACACTCTTCTTGTCCTAAAGCCTCTAAGAAAAACCTGGTTCTGATCCATGAGATGGTTTTGGCATACTGCTCCCCTTTTTTGATGGCTATCAGCTGTGCTAAACGGCTATGATACATCAAGCACTCCTTTCCCATTCCTCCAGTTGTGGTGAAGACCAAAGGTGCAAAAGTTCCGTGCTCGATGTCCAGAACTCTCCTTGGCTAGAGATGCTTCAGTTTTCTCGTTCTCATGGATACGATAAATTTGGTCCCTATATGATACAGCATTACTGGGGTGACAGACCCTCACTTCGAAGAATACCGATTGATGGCTTTCCCAGAAACCACGTGCGTGGATATCTAACCTCGCATCCTGAGCTTTATTAGATCCTCGGTTGAGATGTTCGCCGGAGATGTCTTGAAGGGCTTGCTCGATCTCGACATCGCTACACACCATACTCAGAAATTCAGCTTCGAGATCTCTTAGCTCGTTGTGGCGTTGAGTAATAAAACCTCCTAGTTTGCAAATCATAAAGTGATCAACCGATAAGGCTTCCCCAAAAGCACATGTGGAGGGGATATCTGCTACTGGCCAGTCGTAGCGAAGTTTAACAGCATCACGAAACTCCTCTTATTCAGGTTAAAGCCCAAATCCTGGCGGGGAAGCACCAGATCTTGTACTCCCTGAGTCTTTCTTGGTGCCATCTCCTTAATCCTCTCTGCCCTGTGTTCGAGTTCCTTTAATCTTTCACTTCTTACTTCTGGTTTTGCTAATTTTGTGAGGGAATCTTCTGGTAACTGATGTGACTGAGATACAATTTGTTCAACATGGGGCTTCGTTACTTTGACAGACGAAGCATATTCGCGCCTTGCTTCAAGGGACGGGTCTGGCCTTGCCTAGTCCCTAGGCCTCATCAGCGCTAGAATATTCCTATCCAGCTGATAATAATAATTATAATAATTAAAACATAATCAACTCACCAAGTTTTCCTATAGAACATTAACAACAACAAAAAAAAACCTGCACTAATTTTTGTCCCGGAATATCTTGACTTTGGGGGTGTTTACAAGAGAAAACTCGCACCGGCGCGAGTTTCACACCGGGATGACTTTTAGATTCCGTATCGCGTGTCCATGATGACTGGGTCATGTCATATCTCGCTAATTGAAGGTACACTTCATGTTGACAAAATACGCGTGTAATTCAAAATCACAAACATTACGCATGCGCTATCCGTTCCAATCTACCGGCAGACCAATTTCACACCGAAACGTGTAGTCGTCTCGCGTTTACATGATACTGTTGTGAGATTGTTCTTGCGAGTTATGCGGATTTTATTTAAAGAGGGTCTCAATGGGGTTAACCGATAGGCGTAAAACGGCCTAAAATTTAGTCGATAGCCGTAAAAATTGAAAAATTTTAACCGTTAGCCGTAAATTGGGTAAAAAAGAGTTAACCGTAAAAGAAATTGTCCCCTAGATTTGTTAATTTTAAGGAAGGTGCTTAACTCGCTTATGGTTGCATATTTTATTTTCCGGCTACTTTGACTCCGTACGCACGTTAGGCGAAAAGCCTTTTAGATGTTGACCAAGACCTAGGCTCCATTTCCTCCGCTATCTCGGGGAACTAATTTTTCCTATAGCGAAAGAGGGCTTCTTGCTGGGAATTAATATTTGCGATTTTCAGAAGGTCGCGCCCTCGAAACATTAGTGAAACAACACGCACAGCTGTTTGTAAAACACGTTGCCGATAAACAACATTTTCCTGTTTTTCTCTGACGCTACGGTAGACATTGCCATGCCTAGTCCCTACATATACGGCGTCTTCCCACGCAATCTCGGTCAAGGCATTTCGGTGGCGAACTCGCTCGGACCACGTGACCCGAAACGCATTAGCCGCGCGGAATAATGAGGTCTACGGACAAGGCAACGACAGGCAGTCGTTTTGTACAGTCCTTCGCTATCATTAAAAACACTGGACACGGGAATTTTGTTATTGGCCGTTTTCACAGGACAGCTAGAAAGGGATTATCCATACTAGCCTGTGTACAGTCGCCCCCTCCTCCACAGCGTTAGACACCCCTTCTCCGATTTTTTCTGCGGGGAGGTTGCGGCTGTACACAGGCTATCTGTAACGGATAATCCATCTTCCGTACTTCAAAATTGACGGATAAAGTCAGGGGGATTGTTCATTTCAAAATTAAAACTATTCCATTTTCAAATTGAGACGTATTATCTATTTGACGCGAATCATCAAACGGGTAACCCGCGGCCGTCTCACACGAATAAGCCGTCTCTAGTGTGGAATGTCGCGCCCTGGCCTTGAGTTGGGCGTTCGCGTGTCTGCTCACTATTGGCATTTCTATGTTTAAAATAATATTAGAAGTGGAATACTTTATAAAAGTATATTGATCTATCAAAAGTGAAAATTTTTCAATAGAATAGCTTATTTATCCCGAGATGATCCGAAGGCCTTTATTTTGCTTTAAAGATACAAAAAATACAGGTTAATTAATATTTAACTCTTTGAAACAAAAGAAATTAATTTTTAACTTTTTTGTTAACCGTAACTGCAAAAAATTAACCGATAGCCGTAAAAGAGCCAAAATTTTAGCCGATAACCGTAAAAGCCACCACCCCATTGAGACCCTCGTTGAGCCCCTCTCACAACGCATAGGGCTGGTCCGGAATGACGGTTCTTGCTACTTTTAAAATCTTGATTTCTGGTAATGTTACTTAAAATAACCCAAAACTTGAAATAGCTGATGATTGTCTCAGTTAAATTACCCATAATGCAAAAGGTCTAATGACATTCACATTTTTACCATTTGTGGGGTTAGACTTGCATGTTTTAGAACGCAGGAATTTGTCACAATGACGTATAGGCAGATAGGAGTTAGCTAGAAAGATTAGTTAATGTAGTGTAGAGCTTAAAAAAATTGTAAGAGATCTGTTTGAGTGTCAGTACATGCCCTGTAAAAAATATTTTCCGGTAGACTCACACTAATGATTTAAAGAAAAAAAAAATAACAGTTTGACTTAGCGGGAGACTCATGAGGAGACTAGTAAGTGAGTTTTGGTATTGGATTTGAAGTAACCTGAGAAGAGTGCTCCAAATGGTATCGATGCTTTAAGTTTCTTTTTTCAATTGAGTCATTTTGGTAAAATTTTTAGTCAACTGATGTAAAAGTACAAACAAATAAAATAAAATAAGTATTTAATCAAGTTAACATAGAGCCCCAGTCAACCAAATTAACAATGTTTGAGGTTGTACTACTGGGTATTTTTGTTGTTGTTGTTGTTGTTGTTGTTGTCATTTTACTTTTAGTGAGCTCGATTTGTACCAATCCAGTATTGCAATGGAAACTGAGTATATACCTTATTTATCAAAAACTGAATCATCAGATTATGCATTTCTAGAGTTATGTTTGGCTTAGCCATCATGGTGAGCCATTATACCATGCTCTCCAAATATGTTAACTGTAAGCGTCTGCTCAAAATGAAAAACTCGCGATTGTTGGATATGAGATGATTATAGCCAACTTGGCACTACGCGCCTCGCTTGCTATCTACCATCTCATATCCAACGCGCACTCGTGGAGTAATTGTTAATTGTCCATTTTCTTGACATCAGAAATTTAAATTATTCCTAAAGAAATGCTGAAAAGTGGCAGTAGCCCTGGGGATAAACAGATAACACCGATGCTATTGGAAGACCTACTGGACTCAATGTGCCATTTGCCAGCAAAACAAAGTAGAGCCTTTACGGTGTCCCGCTGATTCCAAACGCTTGTGTGATGTTTTATCAGGTTACAAGACCTTGACTGGGAATATAGCAAAGTTTAGGGATCTCGATTTGTTGCCTATACAGATAGATCTTTCATGGCTAGATGAAGGTGACGGATTAGAGAACACGTTCGTAAGGTGCCAAGGGCGCTGTCACAAAAGTTGCTATGATCTCTACGAAGTTGAAACGAGCGGTTGTTGGAAAGTATACACTGTCAGCTTCGCCTGCATCTCTCAATAGTGACGGTACATGCTTTTTCGTGGAGAGTACACGTAATAACCCCTTTCACGATGTCTTAACATTTGGTTTAGATGCTCGCGTCAGGAAGTCGGCAACGGCATTGCAAAATGAAAAGCTTTTGGCGAAGTTGAGAGCAGGCGACTTATAATTGGTAGCACTAGAGACCTAAATATCACGCCCCATGTTTAGCATCACTATATAAAAAGGCTGAGAGAGTCAAAGAGGAAGGCGAAGAAGATGGGACACGTCCTCGACGACTAGAGGGTATCGCGCTCGCGGAGCTGGTTTCCATTATTGAAAAGTCACGTGAGAAGTAGTGCAGAGCTCCCAGTTTTCAGACTTGCCGAACTTGTTGATAATTAAGTATACGTCCCATTTGAAAGAACTTAGCGAAAACACACCTGAACGTATTCGCACTACAACACAAGGACCTTGGCCTTCACTGAAAAATGATCTTGCCAACGCGCTGCAGAAAAAAGATCACAAGGACGACACAGGGGTACCTAACGAACAATTTTTTCGAAAGGGTAAGAAATGTCTCAAATGGATTTCTCTATGCTTTACAAAACTCTGTTTGAATTTTAGGGGACGATTTTTCTTTAAACCGAAATTTTTAGTTGCCGTACGCATTGTGCGTAAAGAAATGTTCACACAGAAATACACATTTTACGGATCTTTTGAAGCGAACTCCGTTAGGTTCCACCATCACTGGTATCTCTCGTCAATTCGATTCTTTATGGTCCTTACACTGAAATACAAGCTAGCACTTTAAGCAAGTCTCAAGCTGGTCTTACCATCTCTCAGTTGCTACAGTACAACAGTTACCATCGCCGACCCACTAACCAGAGCAGCTCTAGTGGAACACGCCAAGCGCGCTGCATATCAGGCGGGTGACTGCTGTGGACACAAGAGTGGGGATGGATATTGGATGAAGGCATTTGGAAGCCATTCCGGGCAAAATTACCTCATGTGAAAAAATAGTGTCGAGAGGTTGTTCAATGCGGATGTAAACAAGGATGTCAGAGAAGATGTTCCTGTACAGAGGCAGGCTTACGCTGTACTGTACTGCCCTCTGCACCTGCTCGGATGACTGTGATGATACATGATTGTTATTCAGGCTTCGATTGATTGAATTTTAATTATTTCTTAAGAAAATAAATAGAGTTACGGTACTTTACAGATGAACGATGAATAATTTACCGAAATACAACAACAACAACATAAACTTTATTTGCACTCGAATTTATAGAGGGTAAGAAAGTAACTTTTTGTAACATTACTCTGCTGTCAGGCAAAATTCTAGGCTAGGAAAATACTTTTGTTTATTGATCATAAATGTAAAACTAGAAATGTAGAGTGGAATAGGATCAAAATATTAATACGAAGGAAAACGATCAGGGCTTAGTTTGAAATTGTTTGCATTTTTGTCGTGGATTGTAGTAACATAATTCCCGACCCCCTCCATTTTCAAACTGCACAATAATAACTTTTTCACACCAAAAAAAATAGTTAAATTCATTATGCATCTCCCTAGTCTGTCGATATTCAAATTAATTGATCCAGAGAATAGAAAAATACTTTTTTAAAACTACTTCCGGTTTGAAATTTCTCACTTCCGGTTTTAATTGATGGCTATCTTGGATACCGGAAATATCTCGACAACCCATAATGTTTCGCGTTGGCTCTATGTCCACATTTGATAGGCACATGAAGTATACTCTTCTACCAAGTTTCATGCTTTTAACCAAAAGTCGCACAATCCATGCACATATCCGCCCCACTTTAATTCAAGTCTGAGCGTAACCCGTATGGGTACCCAATGTGAAAAACGATTCGCAAATTACAATTCTAAGGGAGACGACGAGCATCTTCGTCCTTTCCTGTGAACGCGGTAAGTGAAAATAGTGAAAGTCTAACGCAAGAAATGAAAAGGAATAATCACTGGCCAGTGAGTATGAACCTGCAGGTTAAAAAGAGCACTTTCAGCGGTAGAATTCTATAGCGTGACCACAATGAGTGCGTGATTCAATATTTGCTATCACACGGCAACGAGGTTCAGGTCCTTTGACTTTCGGTTTCAACGTCCGGGTTCGCATCCGTTCAAGTTACCCAACACAAAATGGCAAGACTTGCAATCGTTGCTTTTATCGTCTTTTACTTCGTGCGGTGTGTCATATCAATTGTATAGTGAAAACAAACTGAGAATCAAATTCCTTTTCAGTTATCACACGGCACAGAGAATCAGGTCCATTGACTTTAGGCATCGACGTCCGGGTTCGCATCCGTTCAAGTTACCCAACACAAAATGGCACGACTTGCAATCGTTGCTTTTATCGTCTTTTACTTCGTGCGGTGTGTCATATCTGAAGGTAAGAATGAATAATAATCAATGAAAGGTTTTAGCCATATTGTGGGTAACATTCGGGAAGCCAAAAACAACACGATTCCATATACAGACAATTAAAATAAGGTGGAATACTACCTCTCCCCCGGGTCGCTCTGTTTTTAGAATACTGCAATATCGAATGAATTTACACCCCAATACTGCAAACGAATATTTGAAACATTTATTCGTACACCTACATGATTAGGGTTTATGGCAAATTAAGCTAATTTCTGGTCTTCAGGACCCATTTGCAAAATAAGAGGAAAATGGTCGTCTTGCGTGAAACATTCTGGCGAGCGATTTGATTTGCGAAAACTGGTAAAATTCTTCGTTGAAAACTGTTTCAATTGCAAAATTTGTTGTAAACATATACTGTAATTTGGTACGATCTGTTCTGCTCCGGGGGAATGTGCTATCTACATGGATTAATGGCAGTTCAGTACTGCTTGCCAAGGGCAAATGTGCATTTACTTAGGATAAAACGCGGAAATGCAAACTTGAGCTAATGCCAGATATTGAGTGAAACATGCAGTATGCACAAAGAAATAGATGTCCAGGTCGTATATGTTCATAACATGGAAGACTTGCATGATATAATCCGGGGGGGGGACTCCCATATGAAAAAGACGGGGATGCTCGTCGGAAATTTTGAATTTAACCCCTAAAGGAGACCAGCTGGGCGTGGCTCAAGCTTTTTGTGACCCCTAAAGGAGATCAATCTGGGCGTGGCTTAAGCAAATTTTGACCCCTAAGAGAGACCGCTTAAAAACACACAAATACGACATGCAATGAGTTATAATGATGTAAAGCAGGAGCCCATCAAATGGAGCCTCCATCTCCATTAATTTCTTGAGTCAACCCTTTCCCGAGTAGATTTATAAATAGAACGGCTTGTTTCCCGCGAAAAGTGTCATATTTCCGTGAGTCTCGTATGTCACCGTGAAAAAAATGAAGTTGGATGAAGTCGAAGTCAAAAACCCGTCCTTCGACCGTTTTCCTTTTTTACTATGCGTCCATTTTTATAATTTTACAGCCGCTGGGATCTGGATATCATGAAATAAAAGTTAATGAATTACCCGCTGACTGAGCATGAAGCGATGGGACAAAGGCAGCGAACTGAGGATCACGGAAAGGTTATCTTTGCGAGTGTTTTTCTTTTCCTGTCATACATCCCACATTTAAACATACACCTTGAAAAGAGTCGACGATTAAGCGTTTTTTGGACGATTTGGAACTTTTGGATGATCAGCTCCGAAAAAGTGCCAGGATAATTTGATTTTTGTCATCACCGTGGAGTGGATTTCGCCAGTTAAGCACCGCGTGCAAAAGCGATGACCTAAGTAACAACTATGGAGGAATGCTCTCAGTTCCGAAATTTGAGAAATTGCAGTCTTCCTTTACAACTGACTTGTATCACCGTGAGAGTTGCCTGATAAAACTGGCACTTGAAAAGTTGAACAGAAGACAACAGTTGCTCGACCGTGAAGCTAACACAAAAGTAATTTGCTAACGGAGGAATTTGTGACATCGCGCTCCAGTCCAAAGACCCTCTTATCTCAAGAAAAACAAAATGGATTGTATCTGCGCCAAACTAGAATTATGACTGACTAACAGGACAATTCTCAGCAATTAATGTAGAAGTTTAGGCCAATTCTTTCTTTCGAATTCGCATCTGTAGATCACTTTTTTGCGAGAAAAGAATGGCTGGGCCCGGCGTTACAAAATATAGCAGGGAATCATCACACTAGCTGACGGACAAAACAACCACAAGGACTACAAGTATTTTTTCAAGTAAACGCATTTCGGAAAAAAAAACTTGAAAAACTAGAAATTTGATTAATACTGAGTCATTTAGCCGAAATAAGAACCTTAACGCTCGAAAAAATTGGCTAAAGAAAACGAATCCTGTCAGAACTACAGACTGCAGGTAGTAGTTAATCATTACGCATGTAACAGACCAGCTTCATGTCCTCTTAATGTGAGACAAGCAACCAAAATTAAGATTAACATAGTCAGAGTTTAAAACTCTCCACAGTATAATCTACCTGCTAAAAGAAAAGAAAGAAAATCTCTAAGGGATGAAAACGCTTAAGTCACGTTTCACTAGCTTATGATTGTGTTTGGCCTGTCAGCAACGAATTTCCTGCTGTTTGATTTCCTGCTGTTTGACCCCTAAGAGAGACCGCTTAAAAACACACAAATACGACATGCAATGAGTTATAATGATGTAAAGACATAATCATGAAGTAATTGATGGATTGTAATTTTAAGCAGTTGCGCGCGCCTTCTTGCACGCGCTTGAGAGTGAGCGTACACGTTTGCTTGTTTGAATGTAACAAAATATTGTAACAGTTTTAGCCAAACTGAAGAGGTTTGAATAAACGAAACTTGTCTTAAGGCTAAAATAAAGACTAGTGCGTGAAAGACTATTCGTAAAACTCCGTACAATAGTTATGAGGATTATTTCCAAGTCTTTCGAGGTTTCAGCAAGAAAAGTTACCCAGAGACATAATCATCGAATGCTTTTATCTAAAAGTAGTTTTTAAAAGCATTGTCATAAATCTCAAGTTCTTCACGGAACCCTAAACGAGACCTCGGCGGCTTAAAATATTAGCGCTTTGCCCGGAACACCCTAAGCGAGTAATCGGTTGATTAGTCATTGATTATTGGCGATGAGTAATCGAAGTCTAAAAATTTTGTGGCCTATCGATTACTCATCGATGACATCGATTACTCATTGATGTAATTGATTACTCATCGATGAGTACCATTTTTTTTTCGTTTGTGATTCTGTTATCTGTGTTAGACGCATTTTTCCTTGTATCTGAAGATCCTGAAGATCCTGCTTTACAGGAAAAAGGAAACGAGCTGCTTCATCAACCGCAAATAGGAGGACGAAATTTTCGCATTTGCAGAAAATGGCCCTTGAGGCCTTGTACAAAGACAGCAAGTATCCATTGCACGGAGTTATTGAAGAATTTGCAAAACTGAACAACCTTGATGGGGCAACCGTCAAGGTATGGTTCAACAACAAACGACAAAGAGATACCGGAGAACCTTCTGAACCTTAATTTCCATGTACTACTTAAGCTGAAAAGAATAAACCTGGAAACATCTGTTTACATTTAAGTTTTTTTTAATTTTGTTTTTCTTCGCCAAATACGTTTGCAGCCACGAGATGATATCGATGAGTAATGGATGAAATCAATGACTAATCGATGACCAAAAATTTTGTGGCCTATCGATTAGTCATCGATTACTCATTGATCATCGGCAATAATCAATGACTAATCAACTGATTACCTATCGATTACCTATTGATTACTCATTGATTTCATTGATGTCATTGATGTCATCGATTAGTTATGTCTGGCGTGGTAACATGTGGTTACATGTAAATTAATTCCCAAGGTAATAGACCTTTTTACCGATACGGCAGCCATATTGAATAGGATGCCCAGGGAGAATGAGCGCATTTCGTTTGTATTTTCGAACGCTTTTCGGGAAATTTTTTCTTAAAGCTTTCTTAGAATAAGATTGTAATGGGAAAAAGATCCTTGTGCCTTGTTTTGATGTAATAATGATCGCCTCAGTTTTCCCGAGAAACATACAGTGAAAGACCATATTTCTAATACTAAACTAGAAAAAGGCGATCATTATTACATCAAAACACGGCACAAGGATCTTTTTTCCCATTACAATCTTATTCTAAGAAAGGTTTAAGAAAAAATGTACTCCCGAAAAGCGCTCGAAAATACAAACGAAATGAGCTTAGGCCCCCTGGGCATCCTATAATACTACTTAAATCAAATTTATTTAATATGGCCGCCGTATCGGTAAAAAGGCCTATTTAGCCGCTTTTACAACTCCATTCGTGTAATTGCGGTAATAATCGCCGCCGATCATGGCATTATTTCGTGTTATGTTGAAAATTTACGCATAATTTAGCTGAAATTTCAACTGGTATGTTGATAATTTAGCGAAGGTACACAGCATTTTTTCCAATCTTTACCTTAGATTCCATTTTACAGTTCAGCTGCGTCCCTCTGTTCAAGTAAATGCCAGAAATAGAACACATTTTTGGAAAATATGGTTCCTTTATCTAACCCAACGAACCAGTTCAAAATTTTGCCTTAAAATATTCCTGTTACTTTCATCTGAACGTGAAATCTACCATGTTAACATCGATCTTTCTCTTAACAGCGGAAAAGAAACCCATTAAACTTTTTTGCGGTTTTCAAGTTAGTGTCAATTAAAAAAATCCTGATCGGCTCTCTTGCCTTGGGTATCGAAAAACCCTAGCTATTTACCACGTTAAATGTCCTGGGCGGTTTCTTTCTTCTTTCTGACGTAAGCATGGATATTCCCCGTGGTAAATTTATCTCGGGAAAGTCCGGTCACACGCACCACGCCAATTTCCGCGGTAAAAGCGTCCCGTGTAACCGCGCCTAATTTGTGGCTCATAACTAAAATGCGCGTGAAACTTGTTCAATTTATGCTAAACATGTTCAGGCAAGTACTAGTAATGACCTTAAAACACCACAAGAAAGTAGCTATAGTAGTGGTTTCTCAGCAGAATTATACCCTTTTTTTGGGCAGCCAAAGTGGTCAGTAAAAAATTAATAAATGCGTCATTAATTTAATGCGCAGGAAATTTGCTTCCGAGCTTAGCGACTTTATAATCTCGTCGCGCGCAAAGCGCGCGCACAGTCTGCTAACCGCGCGCGGGCTTAGCCAGATTCAAAATTCGATGCCTCATAAATCTGTGAATATATGCTTGGTGTCCTGCAATGACGTAATGTCGCGTCTCGTCATGGAGCATTTTGCGTTTCCAGGCAACCTAGACTTTGCCGCCGATGATCAGGGCGCATTTTCATGTATTATTCATGACAGGCTGTTGTGGTTATTCATCGTCTGTGAAACAATGTTTATCATCGGTGAATCACGAACAATTTCCCATGCAAATGACACAGAACTGCATGCTCAGCGAGTGCCTGCAAATCCTCGCCGAGGAAGATTTTACACTGAAACTCCTCCGGAGAACGCCGATTAAAATTTATCGGCGAGCGGATCGAAGAAGACAACCGCGAAGCAGAGAACATCGCTCAACACAGCGAAGGCAACGTCGTCAACACAGCGACCACAAACGTGTACAGAGGCAGCGACAAAATACTACAATTACATTGTAAACGAAACCGATGAAGAGAGGGAACACCGCCTGCCGACGCTTCCAAAAGCGACGAGACTGGATCAGGCAACGCTTAAAGTTGACAGTCAAAATTATGTTCTGCGATACAGCGATAGGCAGCAAGAATTATGCACGTCAAGAATATCTTTCCAACGGACTCGGGACAGCCGATCAGCCTTTACGCCATGAGCAACAATGGGTTTTGCAGTAAGCTTTATTTTACAATGAACAGTTTAGAACACCGATAATGTGTGACATGTTTAGGGAAGCGTTACATTTGTAAACAAAATCCTTGCTGAACAACATTTTCGTTTACAATTTTCACTACATTTACTTCCCCAAAACCATCCCAAGTAAAATATATTATCATTTTATAGCAGCCTTATACGTAAACACAGCTGTGTCTTTTAAGTCAAGCATAACTATTGCTGGCCTCCTATCTTCGATCCTATTTAATATTCGAAAAGAACATCTGGATTTCGGACCTCCTCACAATATTAGTGTGTGACATGTGTCACTATGCCAGAAAGATCAATCATTCCCCGTAAGTCAAGTCAGGGAGTTTCCGTTTCGTTCAGGGAAATTGAGAAGCCAGAGGGAGGTGACATATTCCTGCATACTCACTGAAGTTGGCGGAATATTCTATCAAGAAATCAAACGACAAGCAGATATAGGGTTTCCTATAAGATCCATCCATTCTGCACTTTACATTCACGAGAAATTTATGTATTAAACAGGTGGACAGGATGGCTGTGATGGGAGTTTGGGCATTTATTTTGTGTAACAGACACAGATGACATATAAAACAAAAAAACAAAAAACCATGAAAACATAGCAAGCAGATTTTCCCCAACAGAAAAGAAAGAAGTCTTTTGCTTTACATCATCTGTGTCCAGTACACGAAGTTTTGACAAGAATTTGGAATGTATTAATATCTGCACAAATTGTCAATTCATTAGGTTAGGGAAAGTGTACATTTGACTGCCAGTCTGGGAATTTAAAAAACTATGCCTCTGGCTACCATGTCTCAACAAGCTCATGCATGTTAAGAATTGAAATACTGATCACCCTCAACATTACTTGTATGTGGACATTTCATACAAATTCACTCTTGCATGAGTATTTTTTTGTCATGCACACAAATAACTATAAACACTTTCATAAATGATTTGGTATTTTTTACAGTGATAATTCAGTGCTAATGAGGGTACCGCATATTCAGTAATCATGAGTCATGATCACTTTCATAGTTCTCCTCAACTGCATCCTTAATGACATAGCCTGGGACCAGGCTCCACAGTGGGGGAAAAAGGAAAAAAAAGGGGTCAAATAGGAAAAAAATCACATTGCTACATGTAATTTCTATTTTACTGTAAGTGATTATGTTTACACCTTACTGTTCCAAACAATTAGTTGTCAAGTGTGATTATGTACTACAACAAGTGCAAACACTCTCTTACTGTAATCACTTAACAATAAATATTTTTTCCCCAATTACCAGCATTTACTTGTTATTTTCGCTGCAGCATTATCTCCTACCATTTCATCCAGTCACTACTAATGACACACTTCACAAGTAATTATTATTACACATTAAAGATAGCATGTGTTTGCTGCATATTCGCCTGCAGTTATTCTCTATCACACCTATTTTCTTTTACTATAATTACACATGTAGGAGGGTCAAGTGGGGTGGAAACGGGACCTATGAAACATTAGCTACCCTTCCTTAACAACACCAACCCCATTTAAACCCCAGAAAATCCTTTTTGATAAAAGAGCACTGGGTTGAAATTTACTCCAACCAAAAGGCGATTAACTACATCTCACTTTCCAATATTAGAGCCAGTGTGGAAACTCGCCCTCCCAAGCTACCCTATTTACTCCAATTCTCTCCCCCTTCCATCCCTGACATTTTATGGGCCTACTTCCCCGAGCTTCGCGAGGTTCTGCGATACACGTATTTCCAGTTTAATTTATGCTTAACATGCTCAGGCCCGTACTAGCAATGACGTCAAGACGCCATAAGGAAGCGTGTCGATGTCCATTTCACTGTTTAGCAAGCCCATTGTTCTGTGAACAAAAACTGAAAAACTGCAAACGGGCCTTATCCGAGTTCAGTTCCTTAGGATTTCATCGACAACGTACATTATTTTTTTCTTCACAATGGCTTTCACCAATCATTCCGATATTAAAGCAGTCTTAGATGCAGGTGTAAGGGTAACTATGCACGTTTTATTTCCTGCCGCTTTCATTGTCCAGCAGTTGTCTAGTGTAATTTCCGGATAACTGATTCTAGGCGCGCAAATTGTGCATAGTCATGAGTGTACGACATAACTAATTCAACCCAAATTTTATAAATAGAAACCGACGTTTTTAAGATTTATTTTCGAGAGCACATAAGGCACCAAGGGCATATAGGGCATAATTTAATTGCTGTTTTTCTGTTTAGAAAACAAAAAATTATTGAGAGACTAAACTTTATTACTTTTATCAGTGAATACAAACAAGATTAATATACACACTGACTGTGTTATTGTTCTCATTAGTCGGATTCAAAACGAGTAAACTGCAAAAAGACTCGAGGCTTGTAACAATCACGCGTTCAAAGCACAATCGTGCCAATCATATTCGCCATATCAGACTGCTTGAAAGACTTTAATCAATAGCTACCATCAAATTCAGGACGATACACTACATGTTGTACAAATACAGCTTTTAATGAGAACAAAAACGGTATAACATTTAAGAGCAGGCCTATTCTTCTTCGTTAGCATGGACTGAGTCACAAACAATCGGTTGAGCAAGAATTAGCGCTTATCGGTAGCAAGTTCTGTCGATTCTAGCCAATCAAATCCTTCTGTATCTTTGAATTCTCTTTGGGTTTCAATCACTTTTTGGAAGGTGGGATCCTTCTTCACTGCTCGCATCCACTGCAGATACTCTTACAGTACTTTTCTTAGTTCTTTCCCGTAAACAGGATCAAGAGCGTTCTCGGCTTTCACGCGGGCCACATTTTCTGAATCACCGTTCCCTTCGTACTCGTGAATCAATGCGTTGAACTGGTCCCCGTGACATTGTTCTGTCTCGTCTAGAATAAGCGACCAAGGATTTAAGAGAGCTGTCTCCTTCTTGAGAAGAATTCGTTTCTTGGCTGTTTTCGGAGAATCTTCACTTTGTTGCGAGAGCTCGCTTTCTTTGCTGTCTTCATAATTTCCAGCACCTTGTTGCAGGTATAAGTTATAGCCCGCGCTCGTCATCTTTAACACAAGTTCTGACAACAAACTAGCCGGGAGGAAGTAGCGTGCCACTTTTAACGAGTATTAGTAAAGGCTGGGCTACTTAGAGTAACCCTGTGGTTCGATTCTTGTAAACGACCACCTCCCGTAACCGACCACTCAGTCTGCATTTTGGGTGGACGCTTGCGGGAGGTTCGACCGTATGAACAAAGCATATGTATTTTATAAGGTACTTGTAGTGGCGCGAGATTACTTCCGGGATTGCATGAGGTTTTATAATTTGTAACAATGATCTGAGTAAAGATATTAAACTTATAACGAAAATGGTAATTAAATAAGCGAGAGCACATTAATTGAAAAGTATGAATGTATCAACAGTTTAGTCTGAAAACATTTCCCCGTTTTTTTTTTCTACAGCGACCCTCACAGAAGGAAAGAACTTGTATGTTTCCCGCTCTTTAGGTGACGACACATGGTCATGTGAACAGACGAAACCTTGTAAAACCATTTCACGAGCTGTTGAGTTAGCGTCAATTGGGGATCACATTCTTTTAGACGGCACCAACACTGACAAAGACCCTTACAACTGTTCATCAGGAACGTCACATCATCCGGGAATTTACGTTAACAAGAGTCTATCTCTGATTGGTTATACCAGTCCCATGCCTCATGTACGATGCAATAAAGGAATGGGTTTGATGTTAAACGGTACTGATACTGCCGAAGAAGTGAATGTGACTATAACCGGAATTGTTGTGGACGAAGGTTTTGTTAGGATTCAAGACTCCTCCGTTAATATTGATGGCTGTAAATTTGAAAATAGCAAGCATGGCGTGGATATTACTATATATACTAGAACGGCTGTAGATGTCCAGATTACGAACTCAACTTTTTCTGGGAACAGTGAGTGTGTCTCTCTTGTTGCCAACGGTTCCAATATTTCCTCAAAAGGTAAAGATGCTCAAGTGATGTTCAAGCTAAAAAACTCTTCTTTCAAAGGTAATGTCTTGTCAGACGAAGGAGGATGTATTTCGTTTGAGTCATCGTCAAGCGACTGGCAGTCAGTATTCTGTAATATCACCCTGGCAAGTGTGATATTCTCTCGCAATCAATTTTCTTTAAAGGGGCTTATTTTCTTAGAGGTAAATGATGGAAAGCAGCACATTCAGCTTGAGAACGTGACGTTTATAGACAATAGTCCATCTTCAGATATGAAGAGCGTTGGTGAAAACGAGGTTATCATACGCAGCAATGACGTCGATATTGTTATCAATTCAAGCATTTTAAGAAGCCAACATGCACGTTTCCTAAATGTCACCTCAAACAACTTGACATTACAGATCTCTAACACAAGTTTTAATGGCAATCGCGTAAAGGGAAATGGCGGAGTAATATCTTTGAGAAGTGAGGTTTGCACGTTTACGGTGTATAATTCATCGTTTTTGAATACATCTGCTGCCCAAGGTGGAGTAATCAACATTGAAAGCGTTAGTGTGAAAGCCAATCTTGAAGGGAACACTTTCACAGACAACACTGCCATGAATGAACAAGGTGGTGGTGGAGGAGCGATGTATATCCTCTCGCCATCTTTTCTTGGCAGAGTGGATACAGAAGCAAAATATGGACAGACTATACAAGGGGCAGCAGAGAACTGTCTTCAAATTAACATAAGCAGCTGCAGTTTTACCAATGCTTACAGCTCCTCACTTGGAAGCGGTCTCATAATAACTGCGGTTAAGGTTGTTATGCGACTGCGAGATTCATTGTTTACCAACTGTACTGCTATAGACAAAGAACGAATGGGAGGAAGCGGGGCTGTTGTCGTGCTTGCGAATTTGCCGTCACCAGAAGAAACGTCAGAACGCGATTTGTTCTTGACCGTGGAAGGTTCTCATTTCATAGGATGTTCAGGATCAGTTTACTTTGGTTCATCTTTGGTTATATTCTATAAGACACATGTAGAGATAAATATCACTAACAGCCATTTTATTTCTAACTATGGTGGAGCTGTTGCTGTTCAGGCAGTGGTTTCAAGAGGGAGATGGATAAGGAGCGCAGGCAACATCACTATAAGACACTCGAGGTTTTCAAACAATAGTGTAACTGAGGATTCTGGCGGTGCAATTTTCATAGGAGTGTACAATCACAGCAAAGTTTCCTTTGAAAACGTGACTATGGAGCACAACAAGGCGGGTACCTTTGGAGGGGCTGTCTCGCTAAGTAATAATTGTACGCTGAGAATATCTAAGTCTCGATTCTTGCAGAACACAGCTCCTGGTTGCGGGGGAGCAATATATGTTTTCGCTATAAATTCACTTCAAGTAGAAGATTCCCTTTTCTACCAAAACTACGTTAATTCGGCCTCGACTGGATTAAAACAAGTTGGAGGTGCATTATGTATCGCCAACAAAGTTTTTAATATCAGAGCCATTTCAATATCTAACACAAGATTTATTGATTGCCTAGCAAAAGATGGCGGAGGCGCAATGTCCTTTAATGGGATCCTACGTCTTGAAGTTAAGAGCACTCTTTTTATAGGAAATATTGTCTTAAATGGATATGGAGGGGCCCTTCAGTTTTCTCTATTACCGGATTATTTAAAAAATCCAGGATGTCGTGAGGATTCAATAGACAATCAACCGACTAAAGAATTTCCCTCCTGGCTCTACAGAAGCCATCTAAACTTTGAAAATACAACATTCGAGAGAAATGCTGCTGCTTCTGCTGGTGCTATGTATTTAACAAACGGAAAAGCGACATTCCAAAGCTGTTCTTTTATAGACAATTTTGCGTCAACTCAAGGTGGAAATTTATTCACAATGCCTGGATCAGCTAGTCTAATCATCCAAGACAGCGTCTTCCGCCAAACCATCAGTGAATTACAGCCATCAAAAACAATGAAAAGGAACTATTCATTAGCATCGTTTATCCATGCAGAAAGTTCAGGAGCACTGAAACTTTATAACACCACATTCGAGGTAGCAACATACGGTAGTAGCGGTCCTTTTCTACTTGTAAGAAATGGGAGACTGATAGATCTTGGAAGGAACAATTTGACAACGTTTAGTTGTTCTGTGGGGAGTGAAATGGAGGTTCTTCACTTAACTGTTCAATTCACGACTGAGGTACACGACCAACCTTGCACAATTGAAGTTTCTACCCTAGAGTTAAGTTGTTTCGCATGCCAGAAAAATTCCTACAGTCTACAGCGTGGTCGTGCGCTTGGACTCCAGGTTGTACCAGGATTTCAGTGTCTCGTATGCCCATTTGGAGCAAACTGTTCTCAGAATATAATCGCCAAACCAAACTTTTGGGGCTACAAGGAAAAGCTTTCTCCGCCAACGTTAAAATTCACCATGTGTCCTCTGGGTTATTGCTGCCCTCCTCTGCATAAAGAATTTCCTGAGTACAATGGTTGTCTCGGCAACCGTTCCGGTGAATTGTGTGGACAATGTAGTGATACTTACTCGGAGACGCTTTACTCTACACACTGCAGACCTTCACATGAGTGTAATGATTATTGGTTTTTGATTGTCGCGTTGATTTATGTTTTCTTAATAGCACTGTATTTTACATTTAAGCCTTCTATCATACCATCAATCAAACGTCACCTTTTCTGGTTTAACAATTGCAATGTGGCGAACGAGGAAGAGTTTGACAGAGGTTATGTAAAGATAGTCTTCTACCTATACCAGGCAGCGGACCTTCTCCTGGTCTCCAACTCCTCTCAAAGGATTTTAAAAGCTAAATTTATCGAGCCGATTGTCGGGTTGTTCAACTTTCATCAAAAATTTTCATCCACTGGATTGGTTTGTCCCTTCCCTGGCCTCACGGTGGTTACTAAGCGGTTATTTTCTGCATCTCAGGTGTTTGGTACATGTGTAATGATAGGTCTCATTTATGTGGTGCACTGGGGAGTCCAAAAGTTGAGGTTTCGAGGTCAGGGAGCTCCGTCTGTCGGTCCTTACCTCGGGGGTATTTTACAAACCATGATGCTAGGATACGCTACTCTTGCCTCTGCCAGCTTTGATCTGCTACGATGTGTTCCCATTGGCTCAGACAAGAGGTTGTTTTACGATGGAAATGTGGAATGTTTTCAGTGGTGGCAATACATTTTGATTGTTTTGATTTGCGTGTTGTTTGTTCCTTTTGTGTTGATCCTGCTCTGGGGTCCAGTTAAATTATTCCGCGCGTCCATCTCCGTTGGACAGTTCCTCTTTGCTTGTTGTTTTCCTTTCCCATGTCTCCTTTACTGGATATTTGCATCTAATACTGCAAGAAACCTCGACATAGACTTACCCACAGGTGAGGAGTCGAAGATAATTATAGAGAAAGTTATTTACGGTCCGTTCAAGAGACCAGAGGATGGAGCAAGTCTCTCTTTAAGCTGGGAAAGCGTTCTGATCGGACGTCGCCTGATTCTCATCGTCCTGAGAGCTTTTGTCAGCGACCCGATGTCTCGTCTTCTTGTAATGACCTTTTTCTGTGCTTTGTTCCTTGCACACCATGCTTTTACACAGCCATTTCGTGACAGAATTGCAAACATGCTTGAAACCATTTCTCTTCTGTCTCTAGTTTTGCTGGCAACGGTTAACGTGTTTTTTGCTTCTTTGTTGTCATTAGCTGTACCACTTAACGACCATTTTAACACTTGGTGGGACTTCTGCGAAGTAGTGGAAGTTGTCATTCTCGGCGCGGTACCTGTGGTTTCCTGTCTTCTTGTATTTGCTGCTATGGTTTCTCAGCTGTGTCGCATCATTTTTGTCGTATGTATCTCCCTCCGTAATTTGTTCTCAATATGTTTCAGTTTTGGCTACAGGGAACAAACTGACGATGCGAGGCCAATAATTTCGTGAGCGGATTCCCTTCTTTAAGTTTCTTTAAGTTACTTGGTTAGTGTGATCTGGTGGAGAGGGGTAAGAATGTACTAGTCTTAACGAATATTAAACCAGTTCGACAGTTTCAGCAGTATCCTGTCCTGCCTGTTCACATTTGTTTTAAGAAGAACTATTAAAATAGTTACCATTTATTGTTTAAGGTGTTTCGAAACAGTTTTTTGGAAACTATACCGATATTTTTCAATCGCCTTAAACGTGATTTTATCCTCGTTCGGTCGCTATAAAATTTCACCAGTGATTGACTATGAATTGAAGTTTGTCAAAATGCAGTTTTAAGTAAATCGATATCACTATGACAATTATAAACAAAATACTCTTAAATCTATAAAAGCCGAATTTTGCCGCGCGATCTTGACCTGCTACTGAAAATCGGAGACCAGGACCTTAAAGTGTAGTGTTAAGCAAATAACCACCGTGAGAAGGAAAGAATTCTTTATGTTTGAATTCAAATAAAACGTAAATATATTTCAAACCTTACATTTTCAATAGCTGTTTAATAAAAAAGTTCTAAATAACTCTTATTAATCTTAAGTGGCGTCAGAATGCTGCTTAATATCATATTTCGCTGCTTGCAAATTTTGGCGTATTTTGGTTTTGCGGTTCTGAAAACTAACCTGTTTTTTCACCACCTGTCTTTACTTTTAGCGCTTTTCTGTATATCTCTAAAACGGCTCTACAGAGTTTTTTAAACCTCATCACATAATCTTGACAATGTATATCATAATGACTGAAACTTTCAGTGAGATTGATTCACTGCAACACCTTAAAATTTTTAATTAGATTATATTGTTGTTCTTTTTGTGCATGCTTTATTTCATTCTTTTATCATTTTGTAACATTTGTTTACAGTTCTTAACATATTTTTACAGCGTACATATATATATGCTAATTTTTCATAACTTTTTTACTTACTTGAAAATGACAGAAGAATCGTCCGAAAAGTCGTTTTTTATATGTGATTTTTACTGTGTTAAGTTTCAGAAAACCCTTCTGATTGTATTTAACCCAATAAATTAATTTGTTTGTATTGTGTCAAAACGTGTATTTTTATCAATTGATTCTGTGATGATAATTCAAGGAAGCATCTGCTTGCTTCATGGGGGACACTTAGAATTTGTGACCTCATTATACTAGTCACATTTGTATTACACAGTGCAACACTTTGTAGCTTAAGAAAACAGCGAAGTTATTACAACGCCACCACTTGTCTCCTGCAAATATTTCGTACTGATGACTTGTCGCTTCCCAGATCTGGGTCATGTAGTCCTTTTGATTTGACCTGCAAAGATAAAAAATTGCTTTAGCCAATCAAAAGCACTTCTCATCTTTGTTCTGTTAATTGACACGCCATCAGTATGGAATTTCTTGCCTTGTCACTGCCTTGTCCCTCAGACGTCACTTCGCGGGGAAACCAGTAAAGGTATCACAAAATGTCCGCTGTTTTCTCAGGCTAAAAACTTTAGTGTAGGTTTTCCCTCTTTTCGTTGGCTAAATAAGCATATTGTTAACGTTTTTCTTAATCAAAGAAACAACTTATGTTGGTTCACTGAATTTCACCATGTCATCAGTCTTGAGGCTCGTTGACCATGGTGTGTGTGGGTGGGAGTGTGTGTGTGTGTAGGGGGGGTTGGGGAGGGAGGTCGCTATGAAAAGAATGCAAATGAAAAGTTAGAATTAAATTCCTAAAGAAAACCAATCTGGGGTGGCTAAAGCTTTATTTAGCAACCAGAGTAAGAACCACAGGAAAAAATAACAGATTCCCATTATTGGATATTTTAGGCAATTAAAGAATACCCATAAAAATCCCAATTTGGCAAAGTGAGACAAGTCCCAACTAGGAAATTCCCAACCAAGTTCCCCGGTTGGGACTTATCTCACTCTTCCAAATTTGGGATTTTTGTGGGTATTCTTTAAATACCCTAAAATATCCAAAAATGGGAATCTGTTCTTTTTTCCTGTAAACTGAATTGACTCTTATTGCAGTAAGGATGTTGAATTTGAGTGCCACCTTTAACACAGCAGGGCTATGTATTTTTATTGTTATACATATATTTTTTTACATTTAACTCTGAACGAAACCTGTATGGGTTAAAAAACACCCAAATTCTTACCCAGTCTGAGTACCCAATATGAGAAACAATTCGCAGATTTACAATTCTGAGGGAGACGTCGAGCATCGTCATCCTGTGAACGCGCTAAGTGAAAATAATGAAAATCCATTGCAAGAAATGAAAAGGAAAAATTACAGCCCAGTGAGTATGAAACTGCAGGTTAAAAGAGTACCTTCGGCTGTAGCATTTTTCCGAGCATTTTATGGCGTGACCACAGTGAGGGCGTGACACAATATTTGCTATAAGACGGCAACGAGGTTGAGGTCCTTTGACTTTCGCGTTCAACTTCATAGTGTTACGCGACACAAAATGGCAAGACTTGCAATCGTCGCTTTTATCGCCTTTTACTGCGTGCGGTGTATCATATTTGAAGGTAAGAAGGAATAATAATCAACGTTTTTAGCCATGTTGTGGGTAATATTCGGGAAGCCAAACAGAACACGATTCCATAAAGAACAGTCGACGGATACAGACAAAATATGTGAAACACTACCTCTCGCTCGCGTCGCACTGTTTTTAGAATACCGCAATATCGAATGAATTTACACCCCAATACTGCAAACGAATATTTGAACCATTTATTCGTACACCTACATGATTAGGGTTTATAGCAAAGTTGATTTCTGGTCTTCAGGACCCTTTTGCAAATTAAGAGGAAAATGGTCTTCTTGCGTGAATCATTCTGGCGAGCGATTTGATTTGCGAAAAGTGGTAAAATTCTAGTCTAATTTAATCCAATTACTTCATGTCGTTATTGCTCCCTCAGTAACTGAGGGAGTAATAATTACTCGAAGAAATAGGATGAAATTCATTCTAGAAAAATTCATCGTTGAAGACTGTTTCAATTGCAAAATTTGTTGTAAGCATATATTGTAATTTGGTAAGATCTGTTCTGATCCAGGGGAATGTGCTATCTAAATGGATTATTGGCAGTTCATTCAGTGTAAAACACACTGCCTGCCGAGGGTAAAATGTGCTTTTTTACTTTGGAAAATCATGATGCCGAAATGCAAACTTGAGGTAATGCCAGTTATTGAGTGGAACATGCAGTATGCACAAAGAAATAGATGTCCGGATCGTATATTGAAGCCTGGAATGATATAATACCCCCTTCCGGCAATACTGATACATGGAGTGTTTCCTTTCGTAAACAAACCGCTGAGTGCAGTGAAAAAAAAAATCCGCGGCGTACTTGGCTCTTCGCTCGTTTGGCTCTTTATTGTATCTGACACTATGTTATCCTTAAAAGAGTAGCCTTGTTACAGCTGGTCATTTTATTCGAATGACCGTGTCAGGGAGGGGTAACATTGTCGGTTTGTCGAAGGGGTAAAAAAGGCGCAAAAACACCTCACCAATTTATGTTTTTCTTTAGGTCAGATGACAAAATGTGAAAATGACCAGCAGTAAAAATTAAAAATAAAAAAAAAGCCTGAGTCGCTTAATCATAGCTGGGTTAAGATGGTTAACTCAGGGTTCATAATAAATTTTAATTCAAGTTTGAAAGCTTAAAGGAAAGTCAGTTTATTCTTTTGGTCTAAAATTTGATGATTGGATGCTCCAAAAATTAGTAGAGAAAATTATCCGAGAAAATGCTTTTGAACAAAAGAAAGAATTCCGAATTAACCGGCCGTCGAAAAAGGGAACTCAGATTATTTTTTTCCATTTCATTTGTCATACAAACATAGTTTAGACAAGTAAGAAGCTGCCACTCGTACTTTTACACAATTTCTTTTAGTTTTTACTTTTAGAGAAATTTACAATTTGTCATTTCAATTTGTTTTTATACATGGTATCCAGCAGTTTTCCTTCCATTTAATACAAAAACTTGACCCAACTTGGCTCATTTACTTCTTTCCCTATGCAATTTTAATTGCGCATAGATTTACTTTAAGTAACCGTGACTCTCTAAACGTCTTGTGAATGGGGCCACCATAATCTTGTACCCAGAGCTTTTCCTTTTTTCTGAGGCAAAAGCCCTGGGGACGAGGTTGAGACGTCATGATTCAGTTACATCAGTTCTGCTCACATTGAGACAATGGGGAACTTAAGCAACAATGACGGCGACGTCAACGAGAATGGCAAAAAACAATAGGTTTAGATTGGCAGAAAAACAACCCGACTACGACGTGAAAATGCCAAATTTCACGTTTTTGTCGACGTGAACAAAAGGCAACGACTTTGCTTTTGTTTTCCTGAACTTCGATTCAGTCTTTTAGAACTCAAAAAAATAAATATTGCTAATATTTGACGAACTGAACAAGAAGGAATAAGCGCAATAAAGTTTGAAACAGCGCAACCTCACTTTTTAAGCGTCGTCGTCGTTGCTTTAGCTCTCTAATGTTTCTGAGCAGGAGTCCATGATAAGAAGCCTCTATCTCCGCTGAATGATTTCTTGAGTTAACCCTTTCCCGAGGGAGGAGAGCCCGAGGAGATTCATAAATGGAAAGGCTTGTTTCCCGCAAAAAGAGTCATTTTTCCGCGAACCTCGTATGTCATCGTGAAAAAAATAAAGGTGGACGAAGGCGAAATCAGGAGCCTGTCCTTCGACCGTTTTCCTTTTTACTATACGTCCATATTTCCGATTTTTTTACAGGGGCTGGGATGTGGGTATTATCAAACTTAAGTTAACGGATTACCAGGCTAAGCATGAAGCGATGAGATACAGCACGAGAGTAGCGAACTGAAGATCGCTAAATGCTGAAATTTGATATTTGCCTTCATAATTATATTCTCCATGTAAGCACTTCAAAACGTAGCGACGATTAAACGTTCTGTGGACGAGTCGAAACCTTTCGATGCTCAGCGCAGAGGACGTGCCAGAAGCATTACAGTTTAGTCATGCACGTGGATCATGGAGGGGATTTCGCCAGCTCAAGCACCGCGTGCGAAAACGATGACCATAATAGCGACCAACGAGGAATGCTTTTGTTCCGAAACTACCGCCTTCCTTTACAACTTGTATTACCATGAGTGTTACCTGATAAAAACTGGCACATGAAAAGTTGAACTGAACAGAACAACAGTTGCTCGACTGTGAAGCTACACTCAAAGGTAATTAACAAAAACGGAAGATTATGACAACGCACTCTAGTCAAAGACCCACTTATCTCAAGAAAAACAAGATGGACTGTGTCTGCGCCTAAAGAATAATTTTGAATGCGCTTCAGTTTAAACTACAATTCGCAGTTGTAGATCACTTTTTGTGAGAAAACAATAGATGGACCCAGCGTTACAAAACATAGAAGGGAATCATCACACTGACGGACAAAACAACTACAAGTATTTATTCAGATTAAGGTATTTCGGAACAAACCTTAGGAAACAAAGACTGCGATTAATATAGGGGCTCATGTGGTCAAAACAAGAACCTTAAGAGAGTGTCGCTGTAAGAGCGTTCCGGTCGATTTTGCTTGAGACACAGATTTGGCTCATTTCTTGTGTGTTGTAAGACATTCATGTACCTATACTAAAACCACAATCCGTTTGATCGGATCTCTTTATTTTTCAGAGTTTTACGGAAATCAAATTTCACTCGAGCGAAGGCCTGTCTTGACACTTTTCAAGACGTTAATTTGAGGCAACTTTGGAGGACAATTTACAACAAACTACGGGACTCAGCAAAAAACAAATACCACAGACATGTAAATTAACTCTGTCTTATCCATCGAGGCGACTTTCGTGAACATCATGTTTCAATCAAGCCAACAGGAAGACTTGAACGACACCTTATCGGTTCGCTTAAGTCACACACGCGAAAACCGATCAAATTCAAGGTCATTTTTGAAAAAGTAAACGTTCTTAACTGATTCAACTAATATATGTAGGAAGTAGGTGCCATAGAAAAGGTAACTACAGAAAAAAACTTTGCGGCCCGACCTTTACTAAAACTTTATAACTCCGTGAACTTACCCAATTTTCGGCAATCTTCA